TGAAATGGGCCACCATGGTACCCACCTGCCCTCATTCCATCTTTTCACCAGGAGACCCTGAAATGCAGCAGCGACCACCTTGCAGCGAGATGGGTAGACGTGTACCCACAACGTGGTGCTGGAAGCACAGACCCGTTTACACAGAGCACACGTGCCTACCAACCCCAGGGACGTTGGACAGGTGCGTGATTAAACTTTGTGGTGCTTCTGTCAGGTCCAGGCCCAGCTCTTTGCTTTCCTTCAACCATTCCTTTTCTGTCCAAACGTAAGAAAAAAAGGCATCATTTGAACCATGAAACGCTCAGAGCTTTTCTCCTCAAGCAAGGAATTAGGGATGGTAATTGCTCTTGTTTAGATAGAGACACTTGGTGCCCAGGATTGCGTTTGGAGAGCTCAGAGTACGTGCATTACAGGCCATTGCTCCTCACATCCCTTGTTTTCTTCAGGTGACTACGCTAACAGTTGGGGGATTTTGGTTTGGTTTCGATTGTGCTTCAAAGCATAACAAAGCAGATCAACATCACAGGGATGAAACTCCATGTCCTCAGCTGCTGGGAACTTCCTGCAGGAGCTAAAATGGGAAGGACGTGGCCCAGGTTACCCTCGCCCAGCAGCTGGAAGGCGATGCCGGTGCTCCCGTTGCTTGCAATGATAAGGAGGAGTGTTGTTACACCAGAGCAGGACTTTGACACATACTAAGTGAGCCTGTGGTCCAGGGGATGGCGGCTCCCCACGTGTAGCGCTGATGGTGAATTATCTTTGCACTCCTGCAGAGCAACAATTTTGCCTAGCTGTACCCAAACGTAGGCAACGCCAGATGCCACAAGTCCCTCTCCACAGTGTCTTTCAAGGGACTGTGTGCTTTCAAGTGACTGTGCTGATGAAGCTGAACAGAAGCAGATACACACCAAAAACAACGAACCAAATATTTGGTAGAGTGAACAGCTTGCAGTGTCATCAGTTGCAGCTACAGGGCAAAGGTTTGAGAAGGACTAATGCCTCAAGTCTAAATGTGAGATCCAGAAGAAGAAACACTGCTGCACGTGCAAAGAAAGGCCTTTATGCCACCCATGATGTTCTTGGGATGACTCAGGGTCACCCATTCAGCAGCAAGCCCATTTTCATTTGGTGATGCAAGTTCCAATTTGACTGTAACAGCTGGAGCCAAGGACCAGGAAAGAGGCCCCTTCCCACCATCGCTCTCCTGCCAGCACTGCTCCAGGCTGACACAAGGCAGAGCGAACCCTGCTCAGAGGCCAGCCCTTCTGGTCTGGCCCCAAAATAGCATGATGCATGAGGAAACAAAGTGAGTGGCTTCATTCTGACATGAGCCTGAAAAACCTGTTTGTGAGGCACATGGACATAGCAGACACGTTCAATTCATTTGCAGTTTCCCTAACCAGTGCTGTATGTTAATCAGGAACATTCCAGGGCAGGACTAAACCTCTTCACGGATTTAGCACTTTATCTTGGAAATGCTGCAGCAGTTTCTACAAGGAAAGTAACTCCATGCCTACAGAGGGGAATAAATCAAGGCACCTTAGCTAGAGATTGATTAAAGAGAATGAGAGGCAAGATTCAACACTGCATTCATGTTTCTATAGCTTAAAACATCCACGAGGGTTAAGCACCACACAATTCATCTTTGAACCATGGGGCTCATGTTGAGCATGCCCTCAGTTCAAGCATTAAATCTGAGGGTCATTAGTTAGTGTATTTAAACCAGTCTCATGTAAACATAATGCTATAGCCTCAGCGCAGCTTGTTTGCATAGGTAAGATTAGAGTCTGTTACTTGCCAAATCACAGGACCTTCTTTCCATGTATCTGAAAGATAGGGGTATTCCAGGGTATTTGCTTCTTATCACTTGCTTTCAGTGGAAAATTTAATCCCATTAAGTCACAATGTGAATTACTGAATCTTGGTGTGGTCGGATTTCTACACTCAGGACACTGCCTCGGTACCAAGTAAGTTCAGAATTGCACTCAGAAACACGGTTTCCTCCAGGTCTTTCTCCAACAGCACTGCAAGCTGTAGCACACAACCATCAGTGTGTAGCAAGGCACTACTGACTACTTAGGAAGAGTTGACCTCTAGATCCAAAATGGCCAAACTCAGGTAGCTCAGCTGAGACTGTAACAACATGCAGCATGGCAAGACTTATCTTCACACTTGTTGCTGAGGACAGGGTAAGCACACACACACATATAACATGCACAGGTACTGCATTAGGACTAAGAGGAGCTAAGAATAGCCTCTGCTCGCCATGACTTCATGCGCTGTAAGGTTAGGTAAGGGGTTAAGACATAGATTACAGGTAAGTAATTATAGATCTAAATACAGATCTTTCAGGACCATGTAAGTTGGAGCAACCACTTCCCTGCGGCCTTTCACACAGCAATAAGGAACTGTAGGAAAATGGAAGGCAAAGATGCTGCCCCTCACACTAAGTTGATTTAGGCTTACAATCCCATAGGGCATACTCCAAGGTTAGCCACATGCATGAAACAAGTGTCTCTAGGTTTACAGAACAGCCTCAACTGATAGACATGGAGTCTCTTCACCTATTTGCATTAACCTTGCAAGTCAGACCTGAAGCACAAGGACTGGCCATTATCTGGAAGGGTGACCATCCCAACCCATTTTGGCAGTAAAAATAAAGCCAGTATGTTTGGAAAGCATTTTCAAACTTTATTTACAACTGTCACAGTGACAAAAATGTAGTTTGAAAAAAATGCTAGCTTCTCCCTGAGGCTCAAAAAAGAATTACAGAAATATAGAATGTATATCATACAACAGGAGGAGTTTTACTGGAGTGCTTTGTTCTTTAGATACGTTCAACAACAAATAGAAATATACACAATACTTCCAAAAAAAGGATGCAGACAGAAATATGCAAGTCTTTAGGGCAGACAGCAGGTCTGAAGTCCAAGGATTGCCATCTCATTGCTGCCCACACGGTAATATCTTTGATATAGAGCTTTGACTTGGCGGTAACAGATGGTAGAGACCAATAGAGTAACACTTAGAGATAAGACAACTGGCTGGTATGCAGGTGTACAAGCTCATTCCAGTAAGACAGCAAGACTAGAACAAGTGTTACAGATACAACAGCTGAATCCATCGCTAGAGAAAATGGTATCACCACATCATGACTGTTCGGTGATCAACCATCCACCAAGATGGACAGGGAGCATGTATAACTGGGTCTGCGTTGCTGGACCAGAGACCAGCCGCAGTGTAGGAACACTGAATTTCTCCTGCTTTGTGCTAACTCATCTCCAAACTCCTATCTGTCTGAAACAGTTATGCAGGGCTGATAAGTTATTGCCATTATGTTTAAACACAAGCAAGACAAGACTAAAACAGTATGTTAAAAGCAGTTCCCAACCCCCACCAGCGTTTAACTACTCATGAGGTATTAAAAATACAAATACACACATGTCCAAATAGATTTTAAAAATGGAACCAGTTATAAGCAAAGGGGGGTGGCATTGGGATTATTATGAAAGTTTGGTTAAGGCCTTGACATTTCTTTTTCTCTTCCATGACCCCAGATTTGGTTTAGGTGGTAATTGTTCTCATCCTATCCCAAGACCGACTGGCTCCCAAGCTGGTCCCCAAAGCTGCGAGACCATCACTTTCCAGGAAAGCAGAGGGCTACCCTGTCTGGCAGCAGACTGGCCTCCTCCCCAAATCAGATAGGCGACTTCTCCTTGGAGCAGGATATGGTGAAGAGGACACAACCGCAGACTTCACAAGCCAGTCAGCACTTCATTAAACACCCATGAATGTTTCACCCTTGCTATGAAGCAGAAACACATCTTGTCTCAGGACACCTGGGCTAATTCTCTCTCAACAGACCCCTCCTGCAAACTCCCCTCTCCCACTGCTGATCCACACTAGATCTGGTCTTTTGTCTTTGGATTACCTCCAGGTCTGGCAGTAGCCCCCACTATGCACACCCCTACCAGCCTGTCCTGCACTGCCAGGGCCCTGAGGAGACCCTGCAGTGCAAATTTGGAGATCACCCACCCCAGCCCTCACAAGCCCATTGACCAGCAAGTTGGAGACAGGAAACCCTACAGCCTCAAGGGCACCAAGGTAAGGAGGTGTAATCCCCACCTGTACAAGGGCTTTGGGCACTGTACAAGACAAGACCAGCCACAGCGGCCTCAGCAAATAGGAGAGAAAAATCTCAGGTGTTCAAACCTACATGAGCTCTTGCTGCAGACAGAAGCATCTTTACATCTGATGAGCATTACCTCACGCTAACCACCTGCAAGATAAACTAGGGCCTCACAGTAGAGATGACAAGCAGCAGCCTAACATTATCCTGCAAATACAGCTGTTCAGCATTGAAGAGTCTAAAGGCAAACAAAGGGGAAGGAAACAGCTTTGGGAAAAGTGGCTGGAAAACAGGCTCAACAGCAAGAGCAAGAAACCCAACTACTCCTATGGACGCTCACGTTACCCTAGGAGGTACTGAACCAGGGAGAGCTACAGGCCTCTCGTCAGTAGAGTGTTTAGCCATGCTTTGCTACAGACACCCTTCCACCCCCCGACACACAAAATGGAAGCTGTAAGGAAAGGCAAATCTGAGAGATGACGGCTCTGTTCTCACACTTTTAGCTGGAGGCAGCTCCTGGCCAAAAGTTGCCGCCTCCAACTTTCCTCCCCCCTCCCCAAACTTCCCCCTCCAGCAGTCCTTGTGTGGTCACCCTCTGCCATGTGCTTGGAATTTCACTGCTGCCTCCGCCTCGGAAAAATACAGATAGTGATCTCAAGAACAGCAAACATTTCTCTGCGTTACTTCCTTCCTTCCTCAGGAGGTCTGGTGACACCGAGGGCTTCAGTTCTCAATACAGAGAATACAAAAAAACTACGATCTCGCAGGTGCAAAATTGAACTTGTCTTTTTTTTTTTTTAAAAAGACTTTCAAAAGAAGTGTGGCTCTTCCTTCAGAAGGGTGCAGTCCCTTGCCTTTCCTCAGATACCATTTATTGCTCCTTGTTGTCCTTCTTTGCATCTTCACAGTTTTCTTCCTCCTCTTCTTCCTCCTGCACAAGAAACTCTTCAGGTGGCCATCTCAGCTCACCGCTCTCCACATCACCCTCCGTTGGCTCCACCACGATTGAGGGCAGGCGGTCCTTCAGCTTACAGTAACGGTCAAAGTCTGAGGGATCAGGGAAGATCTGAAAGAGCCAAGAAACAGTTTGTGAGAGGGGCTGCATTCAGTCTTAGCCAAAACCCAACTCTCAAGACACATGGGTCTTCATGGCAGACTAGTCTGGACACAAGACTAAACCACTGACTGATGGGAAGGCTCTTGAACTAATCAAATAAGATTAGAGAATCTCTGAGTATTGGTAATAAGTGCTGCTCAAGAGGCTTCCAAAGCACATACTTGCTTGGATAGTGCTCAAACAGGCATCTGCCCTTTTGGATATTTATCCAAACACCTCACCCCACCACCACCACTTCTGCATTAATGCTTGTGAGTTTGCACACCGAGCTATCTCGATCAGAGAATCTGAGATCTCATTTCCTGCTGCTGACCAAGCTACACATGAGAACAGGCTTGTGCTTCAGGCTCTGCTGCTAGAAAGGAGAGGAGGTATGTGGCAACAGCGTGCTAGAGCAGTTCAGACCCTTGCAGCAAGGGCCTGCATCTGGTATCACTCCAGGGCCACAGCACCACAATGAAAGAGAAGTTCAGCTGCATTTCAGAGATAATTTTGGCAGTGTTCGGCTCGCCACCACTACCATACATCAGCAGTGAAAATCAGCAGGAGAACACTCATTTTGTGGAAGGGCTGGAGACTGGGCCAAGCTTCTTAGGGCAGCAGGTGCCTGTGGCATAGCCACCAACTGTGTATTCTGGTGTGAGGAATATGAGGACTCCCTTAGCTCCAGCACAGAGCAGTACCTTCACCCTTCCCTCCCACCCATAGCTTGCCCCATGGGTGCACAAGCTCACGCAGTGCAGCAGCACCAGGGCCCATACTTGCTGGCAGCATCACTGGGATGCATGCTCTGACCCCACTAGGAACCGAGGCAAAGACATGGGAACAGGAAAAGCTGCCACGGCTGCGCAAGCTAGCAGGAGGTCTGTCTGAATTGCAAGTGTGAACTGAAGAGGTTGCTGTTATTTTATAGAGATGACCTACGAGGGGAACAGCTTCAAACCCCCACTCATCCAGAAGAGAACTGCTGGGTGACAAAAACCAGTTGCCACATCAGATCCCCTGACTGTTAACCAGAAGATTAAACAATTGCCACCCGTTTATTTCAAACAATTTCATCAGAGTGCCCATTTCACATTAAGGTTGCATTTAAACACCCCAAAGATAATCACAAATTTTCCTCTCCAGGTTATAGATGAGGCAAGGAGTCAGGCCCAGTACTTTTCTTTGAACACCAGCTGCATCCAAGCGAGCTGTCAGGGCATCCTTGCAGGGAACAGCACTGCCAGCCTCAGACAGGCACATTGCTCATGGGTGCCTCAGTTTGAGAGCAAGATCTGATCTGCTTTGATCTTTGTGGTTCCAGTTACAAAAGCAGGTTCCCCATCCAGGAGCCCTGAGCATTAACCATGAAGCATCATTGTCCTCGTGCCAACCATGCAGGTATCCACCACCTTTGGAAGCCCTGGCCGAAACGCCAAGTGAAACATCATCCTATCAACTTGTTCTTCAGCCTAGTGATCATTAACCACACCATCAGCTCCTTGTCAATATTCAGTCTTCTACTGTCCAGCCACATTTCTCTCTCGCATCCAAAGCTTTGTGGCAACCAAGCTGCCAACCTGAGAAAGCCATCAGTTTGCTACTTAATGCAAAGTCAGGCAAGGTAACTTTGGGAGAGGGTGCTTGGGCAAGGACCTCTGCAAAGGTGACACACAACAGGTGGGTTCTTTGCAGACAGCTATCTGGTCCTGGGGACAGAAATGCAGAAGCCCAACCCCTACTATGGCACCCACCATCCATATGCTTTTCAAGTGCACAGGAGTGAGGTCTTTGAATGCAGCCACATTAACATGGGCAACTGCAGTAGGAGCTACTTGCTATTAGTCACCACCAGCACAAGCGAGACAGTAACTGGTTCTTGGAGCTTTGTGGCTTCTGTTTGGCCAAACAAAGGCAGTTTCAGACACGCAGTGCATTACTGGAAGTACAGTCAGTGGCTCTAAAGCATCAACTCGTTATCTAAACTCAGGATAGGAAAAAAATACCCTTGACACTACATGGTTTAGAAGGTTGCAATGGAAAAAGAAGTGTGGTTCAGGAGGTTACATAAGCTGATAATGTCATGAAAATAGCCTCCTGTGCAAGAAAAATAGCAGTATAATAATTAAACTAACCTTTGGTTGCTATCATTTTAAGCACATTAGGTCAAATCGGAGCAATTTCTTTGAAAATAGCCTGCCAGATTTTTTTTCCAGAAACTAAGTAGTAGTCATTTCCTTACAAACAAATATCCGCAAAATGTGGTGTGCAGCTTTTTTATTAAAAAAAAAAAAACCTAGCACAATCTTATCTCAAGCAGCTGCAGGACAGGCCGAACCCAAGAAGGTCAGGATTTTTTCCACTAAGTCATGCTTTTTAATCGTCAAGGCAGCATGAAGGGAGATGTTGCAACTGCACTTTCAAGGGGTGTGGACAGTCAATGGAAAAAATACACAAAGGCAGATTGCCTCGCATGTGACGAGTGCGGCAACACAGCAGGCCAAGCAACAGGGACCGAAGGAAAAAGGGTTTCAAAAAAAGTGTTTCAGATTAAGACTCCATTTGCACATCTGAGGATGTCAGGTGGAAAAGTGACCCCAACCCACCTCCCCACTCACTCCAAAATAAGCTGTCTTGCCAGATTCTTTATCAAAGAGACAAGCGAGCACCAGCTTTCTGCTGTCTCGCACCAGTAGTGCCATGCTGCATTTGTTGGTCCCATATGCCTAATCTGGTCCCGCTCCAGATTTAGACAATGGGAAGAAAAAACAACTTTAAAACTTGCAGCAAAGTCCCCACTGGGAATGCTGCAGCTCAGCTCTGACCTGTGAGCTCTGCACTTTTTTTTGTTTTCCCTCCAAAACCTGCCTACAAGCCTTTCTGCTGGTGTTACCCACCTCAGGCCTGTGGGAGGAAGACTTTGCATCCTCCACCACCCAAAGAGTACAGCAGCAATGCGTTAACTTCTCCCCCTCATTTATCAGAAGGAGCCACCTTGCACACAGCTGAAGCAGATGCCTACTTCTGGCTGATCTGGGTCACTTGATGGGGGACAAATGACAACCACCAACCAGTTGTGAACACTTACCTAAAAGTTTAGCAGCAACTCAAAGGTATCTTCCTCCTCCTCCCTTGCATGACACAGCACAAGGGACTGCAACTGCTTCTGCAGAGCCCACCCCCTTCTGTAGCTGAGCCCCAACTCCTGGCCTGTGGAGAGACTCATCCAACACCCCCAGAGGACACATATATTGCTTCTTACGCTAATCAACACAACTTCTTGCTGGCAGCAAGACTAGTTTTCACAGACCTCTCCAGACTATGTTTTGGGAACTGCTCTCCTCATGGACTGATCCAGAGCACACACATACCAACCAAACTCTTGCCTTGCAGCTGGAAAAGGCAGTGAAAAGCAGAACTTGAAAGCTTGAAATTATTTTAGAAAGATCATGTTTGCCTCTGTTTCGGATGATCTAGCTCTACTATCCTTGAATGAAGTCTTGGCAATAAGAATGGAAAGTTTTCATTGCCCTGGGGAGGCTCATACCCTCTCTCAGCATTCACATGGATGGAGAAACACCAAAAGCAGGAGAGATGTCAGACAATTAAGAGGATTAGCTCAGAGCTACCATAATCCAAGTGACACTTGTAAATTCAAAACAACTTCCACATGTGTACTCCATACCAACACCCATAGTCAAAATGCTTGTCCCCCCTCTCACGGGGCTGAAAACTACTTCAATTATATTACAGGGAGACTAAGGTAACAAGATCTTTCCAAATTAAGTTACTGTTTCAGGGAAAAGTTTTGCTTCGTTGTGGTAATGCTATGCAAGATTAAAGAGCCTGCACTAAGATGCACCCTGCTTCAGGTATAGGATACATCCCTGATGTACATATATCACTCATCCCCCCACCACTAAAAAGCAAGTTGTGCCTCTTCAGCAATATCAAGTCAATATCCCAAATCAGCATTTAAGTTCTTAAAACTTTACTGCCATCGAGAAGCATGGCAAGCTTATTTCAGGAAATATTTACATCATCTCTCAGCATCTTCTTTGGAGGAATTTTCCAGCTATAAGAAGCAGCGCTAATACATACATTTACTCACGCAGTAGTCATGACTTGAAACCGAGCTCCATCTAGTATGCACACAGCAGCCTGTGACTCAGGTTTACGAACTATGACAACTCCCCAGTCACAGACAGATTGCCCTATCTCGGGGGACAGTGGCTGGGAAACTTTATACATCATAACACCTTTCCATCAGAGTAACAAGGCATCAAGTAGGGAGGAAAAAAAACATGCACCGAGATGTTCTGATTAGCTGCTGTCTTCAGTTTGCATTTCAGTGGAACACTTTTTTTTTTGCATAGCATAGCTGCTAACATGATTAGTTTTGGCTCTGTTTATCCCACATCCTGCTTCTGCCTTCACTTAAGGTCCCAGACCCTGGAATACACATTGACTCAGCCTACTAATCCTGTCTAGTAACCGTGCATTGGATGTGCGATGTGAACAAGTTATCCTAAATCAGCTTTTTGCAGCCCAGTCTTGAGACCTTCTGCAGTACCAAGTGCCAGCGCTAACACAGGACTTCCCCTGCACAAATCGAGGCTGCGCAGACATGAAGTGCCTTACAAGCAAACAAAACAATCACAGAGGAAGCTCAGTTTCCACCCTTTGCCATCAGCCCCTGGGTCAGTAACGTGTTGCTCCCCCAGGTTAGATGGGGAGCTGCAGCCCAAACACTGCAGGTCCCTGAGAAAGTCAGTGCTTTGCTGGTGCTGCTGAAGAGGCCTTGCGTTCACCAAAAATTCGTTCCTCAACAAGAGACAACCCAAAGCTTCCGCCATCAACACTGGATGGAGCGTTAAGCCTATTTACCTAGATTCAGCCAGTCTGACGTGATTCGCAGCTCGCTGTGGCTGTGATTAACCTAGACAGATCTCAGCATGATGCGATCATGACTTAAAAGAGCTCAAGCTCCCCATGACAACCAAACCCCAGCTGATGGCATGAGGCAAGCTCAGCCTCCGCATGCCAGTCTCCTAAAAGGGAGCCTGAGGTCCCACAGGACCAGCGAGCTGGCCAGACAGCCGGTCTGCAGCAAAGTAGCACGCTCAACTCGGCATTTGCTCAAAATAAACCCTTTGGGCAAAGTGTTTTCAGTTGTGCTCAAACCCCGCTCCACTTCTAAGAAGCACGGGAGGATTCAGGTCAACGCACTGTTTTGACAACAGCTCCGCGAACTGATTAATCCGCCCTCGGTTTCAGTAGCACCGGTCATGCTGCTGCGAGATGGCATCAGAGGACAAGCTGGCAGAGTGCTGACGAGGCTTTTTCAGAGAACAGGTATATCTAGGGGCTGGAAAATAGCAAACTGTACATTAGCTCCAACTGGCAGAGAAAAAGTCTCAGCTCACCGGAGACTGCTGGGCAGGAAGCGCATGAAGACCTCCGTAGGCACATCTGTTTGTAGCAGTGGCATCTTGAGCCATCAGCTGCATTTCAACGAGTTTTTTTGTTTAGTAAGTCCCATGGGAATTATGGGACATCTATTAAAGATCCAGAAATAGCTCTTCACTGCAGGCACAAGACCCAGCATGACATCATCTCTTCAGCTGCATCTTCTGTTTTGTCTATGCCGCCCTGCTCGGAGACTGGTGCCCCGGTTTCACCATTCACTTCTGCTCAGGCCCTTTAAATCTGTTGGCTGAACCATCTTCAGGGGGCTCGGAGAGCAGCTTTACATCACAAATACAGTAATAAGACTGCTTTCCATAGAAGGGTTTTTAAATTGGCACATTAGCTTACAAGCATTTTGCTTATTAACTGGAAAAACACACTCCTATGCTGAGAAAGCACATTTTCTAAGTGAAACTGTACAATTTACTAAGCCTACACAGGCGACTCGGTTTATCACAGATATGACTGCTGCAGTCTGAGTTTTCACATCATTGCTTGAAGAGCAGTGACAGCCTGCCCACCAAAGGCCAGGAACCTTCAGCAGGGGTGGGCACACCTTCACCTGATGTCTGGACAAACAGACACTCCAGAGCATGAGCAGAGGCAACACGGGGGTGGAGGAGGCAGAAGGAAAATGTTAACCAGCCAAGTTCCCTCCATAACAGCGAGACAGACAGGAGCCCTGAAGTTCAGTGAACTCCATGGGACAGAGGAGTCAGATTGCTGAAGTTTATACTTTGTAGGAGTTTGTTTCCTCAGTTTACTTCCAAGTAAAGGCAAAAATACTTTGAAGCAATACTTTTGGTTGGACAAGCCTGTCTGCAGCAGATATTGATGTGCTTTACAGTTCCAGCAAAGCTGCTGGGCCATCTCCTCTAGTCCAGACAGTTTCATGTCTGCAGACAGTGGGAGAAGCGGCCCCCAGGCTCACAGCTAGGATCCTACAGACCAACTCCCAGGCGGTCACTGCTGTACGCAGCCCAAAGAGGGACATTTTGAACCTCATTTTGAGGTCATCTCTTCAGCAAAATAAATACAAGTTCTACTACTAGAACAAGAGAAACTTCTGAAACTAAAAGGTTGCCTCTCCCAGTTCTGGCTCCACTTTTTTTTTATTTTGCCTCTCGTAGCCAGCCAAGGGCTGTTACACTCACATCGTGAGCACCCAATGCTACAGATGAGTGAGTGAAGGAAGATGTTGCAGCTTACAACAAGCCTCAGTGTAGGAGCAGTCATGCTCCATTAGCCCTGTCTGGTTTTAAGTTATTGCACTACAGCCCTCAGACTAGCATACAATTTTCCATGTACCAAACTCTCTCCATCAGCAACATGAAGCACTAAGTGCCAAAGTCTGAGGTAGAACAAAGAGTTCACGGTGTGATTTGCACCAGATTTGTCCTTGCTGTTCCAACTCAAATTTTCAGCCCTTTAAGGATGCTTCCAACTTCCCTTGATGTACACTGTGACCTTCTCAGCCCAGCAGCCAGAGAAGGACAGCTGGAGCCTGCTCCCCAATCCTCTTTACACTAACCTGATTTAGAGCCAGACCTCGTACACAGCCCACACACCGCTAGTGCCCCATCAGGATCTTCCGTTTCAACACCTCAACCCTTTCTGCCATCAGGTTGGCTCACATCAAGTACTGGCAGGCAGTTCCCAGCTTCTGCAGGCACTTGAAAAAAGTCATGTATGACTAGACCACTACAGAGGAGAGATCCAGGATGCATAAACCCTGCATAGATATGAGTCGTCAGCATTTATGACTCACACACTTTCAGGTTCAGATGATCCACTCAAAACTGAACAGGCCTGTTCCCCAGTTGGCCCAAGCAGACTTATCAAGGTCATTAGCACTTGGGGAAAAACCTTGCTGCAGCAATCATTAGAACTAGCAGGGCACCCAGATTCTTCATCTCGCTGGAAAATTTGGATAGGTAAATAGAGGCATTTGACCTGACTGGGTTAAGCCTCTCCATATGGTGACCCATAAAGACAACTGAACATCCCATGCAGGCTGGTTTGATTGCTTCAGGTTTATAACCACTCATTGCTGTACGCTCCCTCTATAGGAGAGCAAAAAGAGACCATATGCTTTCTGCTAACTCAAGCACTGAAGCACAGCACAGCTATTTCCCCACACAGGCAATAAACCAAACAACTTGTACTATCCAGATCCAGAATTCTGACCAAAAAAAGCAATGCAGCCCCTTTTCCTCCCGCAGCTTCAGCTTCTGCTGGAGGCCTCAGCCATGGCCCCATAGTTCAGTTGATTTCACACTTCAGTGCACTATTACTGTCTTGTAGCTCATTTTTCAGACGTAAATATGCAAGCACACAACAGCCCACCTCATTTGAATGCACGCTTAGAGCAACTGCCTCTGTGCAGGTTGTGTAACATCTGCAAAGCAAGAACCCTGCATCAGGATCTGCCGGTAAGAGACACCCGATGCACAGACCAGATGCAAGTCATCCGCATGCACTCAGTGCCTGTGTTAAATCTCATCAACAAGTCTCCTGGAAGAGTAGGAAAACATGGATCTAGTAGGCTAAGACTCACCACTGGCCCTTTGATTAACTGCAAGCTAGGGAACAACAGCAATATTGAGACTAAAGGATTGAGGCTCAAGCTAGTTTCTAAGACTACCTCTTCACCTTAGTCATTGATCTAGAGGTTAATAGCCAATTACATTGTTCAGAACTTTCAGAATGAATGCAGCTCATGCCTTCAGGTACTGATATCCCCAGCGACATTTCAAGGCTTGTTTCAGCTGGCTCGGGCCTCACTGTATCTTATAGAAAACTGTTAACCCTCTCAAATGAGCCCATCCATCAGGAAAACCACGAAACAGATCAAAAAACGTAAGTGCCATATAAACAACTCCCTCCTGCTCTAGGCAGATCATTTGTATGCCATGTTATAGAGATCTCAAGAATCCTCCCAGCCCAGCGAGTGGGACAAATCCTTCTTTAACTGACCTCCCTGCCTCCCGTTGAGCCCCCACAAATACTGAATGAGCGAGGGCTCAATCGCTTCAGAAACAACCAAGTCCTTTGCCAATCCAGTCCGATACCAAGGGATATTTTAGACAACCAGCTACTGCCAAGCAAGCATTCCAGTCTGTTGACTAGTTCTCACTACAGCAAGACCTACTATTAGACCAGGCTATGGAAAGGTACATTAGACCCAGTTTGCAGTCCAGCCCAGGCAATTCCATAGGGGATTACTGCCTATGCAGCCAGCAAAGCACTTACCTGATACGACAGGCCGTCCTTGCGGGGGCTTAGCCCAATCTCATCCATAGCTGGGGTGTTCATCATCACTTCAGTCATTTCAGCTGATCTCAGATAATCAGAGCTAGAAACAAAAGACAACATATTCAAATCATCCGAGGGGCTCCAGAAGGACCGAGCAAGATTTAAGCAGCATCGGGAAAGACGAGCAGGCAGAAAAGGCTGTCAGCAAGCTTTTTCTGGTCCCTTCCTTCCTGCTCCCCCCCCGAAAGGGGGTGGAAAGAGCTGGTAAACCGGTGCTACATCCCCTGCCCCTGGGAGCAAACTCCCCGACTTTCTCCCCGGGGGCACAGCTCAGGAGCACCTCGGAAGGCTGGAAGAGCAGCCGCTCACTCCGAACTCCACGTCCCCCAGTTCTGCCCCCTAAGGTGGGAAAGTCGAAAAACACAGTGAATAAGTGCAAGCGCGGGGGTTTTTTGTTCTTTTTTTTTCTCTTAAGCTGGTGTGTTTTAGCTCCTGCTGACTTATTTTACAACCTCAGGGACTTCCACACCAGCGGAGCGGCCGGCGCCAATTCCAGCTCTGCTTTTACAGCCTTAATGGCATTTCCAGCCCGAGAAAGTGACGCGAATTCCCACCGTTCGCAGCTCCTT